TAGTATACCATAACATTACCCATTATATTCCCCATCCTAACTCCTTTCATTTTATCTCTTTCTTGTCCACCTCAAGTTAGTCATGAGGAAGACTTTTTTATAACAAATTTTTACATGTTGGTGAAGGGCGGTAAGTACTTACGTTCTACTACCTCTGGGCTCAATTAATCCCTCTCTTATATCCAGAAACAAAGCCCAGTAAAAGAAGTAGAAACTTCTTTTCACTGTGGTCACTTTTGCAGGGAGGTTTACTAACATCGCCTTTTACACGTTGACTGCTATGTCCACCCAATTGGATGGACACATGTACTTTCCCTTGGTGCCAAAGTAAAATTATGTAAACTCCTCATGACTGCCAGAGTTATAACTTAGTATTTATCGTAGAAATATTTTATAAAAGTTATAAGCCCATACAACTTATGCTTTGCTATTTTGTAAAAGTTGGCCTAATGCAGTACCCATGGGTGTATGGTGGATACTCATGTTCTGCTTATTTTATTCTAATTATGTCCAGAGGGTTTATAATATATTAGTAGAAATCTCTTATTATTATTATTATTATTCGGATTTCTTATACCTATTTAACGAGTGTTCGAAGTATTCAAAAAAAGATGCCATAACTGGTTTTCAAACTGAAATTAGGCGATTCAGTGAAGTATGTTAGAGTAACAAAATATTCAGAGCTGTAGTAGTACTGATCTCTATAATTTTGTGGCGACTCGCCCAAACCAAGAAGCGACAAGACACCCCTTTGCCCGCAAATGGACGAACCCGGACCAAAGGTCGAGTGTCACAGCATCTGGCAAGATGTGGCTGAGCCGGGAAGAAGGGACGCTTCGGTCAGTCTTACCTACGCCGACTTACACGCCACTCGTCGCAATTTGTAGTCCTGATATTTTATACATTATTCGCTGTTAAGTTGTTGAGTTGTTAAGTTGTTACAAATAAATTCACATAATTAAGCTGGGATTTCTATCGTAACCATCCCACATTGGTGACCCCGACGTGATATAGTGATACAGTGTTTGTGAAGTTTGTTTCAACGCGCCCGTCTACACACGCACCGGAAATGTCTGCAGAGGAGCTCAGAACTCAACTCCAGGCCTTACAAGAGGAGAACACGCGATTAGCCCAACAAATGGCGCAGCAATCGCGGGAAAATCGCGCCGGTGACGCACCGGCTGATAACCCACTCGCCGGTGGGGTACGCCACACGCCATCCGTCAACCGGGTGGCCGTCAAATTGCCGCCATTTTGGGCGGACAGGCCAAAACTATGGTTTGCCCAGGCGGACTCCCAATTTACTATATCTGGGATTATCAACGAGGCGACAAAGTTCCACTACGTCGTGGCCCAGCTGGACACGCGCTATGCGGCCGAGGTGGAGGACATAATAGACGATCCGCCAGCTGAAAACAGGTATCAATTTTTACGTACTAAGCTCATCGAACGTCTATCGGCCTCCGAGGAGCAACGAGTACGCCAGCTCGTTAGCGAAGAGGAGCTCGGTGACCGCAAGCCCTCGCAGTTTCTGCGTCACCTTCGCTCTCTTGCCGGTACGAGCGCGCTCCAGGACAACCTGCTTCGCCAGCTGTGGCTCCGGCGTTTACCTTCCAACGTTCAGGCTATTCTAACAGCGCAGGCAGACTTCGCGCTTGACAAGCTCGCCGAGCTGGCAGATAAAATTGTGGAAGTCGCACCACCTCCCCCACCCTTCGCCGTTAACGCGGCCTCCGCCGCCAACGCTGCTCCAAGCGACGCCAACCAAAATGACGCTACGGTGCTAAACGCCATCTTGGCGCTGACCAGGCAAGTGGCCGAGCTCGCAACTACGGGCAACCAACGCGCACGCCCCCGCAGCCGCGTGCGTACGCCATCCAGGGGACAATCAGCAGCACGCTCGGACGCAACGCGCTGGTGCTGGTACCATTCGAAGTTCCGTGAGCAGGCCAAGAGATGCACACCGCCATGTGGATATTCGGAAAACCCCAAAGGCAGTCAGTAACAGCGGCAACAGACTGCCCAGCACCCGGAAGCCGCCTTTTCGTCACCGACAGCGTTACGAAGCACCGTTTCCTGGTGGACACCGGTTCGGACCTGTCATGTTTCCCCCGCCACATGCTCCGCGAGCGGCGGGCGGCCACTGACTACCACCTCAGCGCGGCCAATAATACGACGATTAAAACTTACGGTTTCCTACCCCTTTCACTGAACCTCGGACTCCGGCGCAGCTTTCTTTGGAGATTCATCGTGGCCGACGTAAGTACACCTATAATTGGTTCTGATTTTTTAGCCTACTATCACCTGCTACCCGACTGCCGATCCAAGCGCCTACTGGACGTCACCACAGGCCTCCACGCAACCGGACAACTCGCACTCGCTCAACAGGACAGCATCAAGGCCGTCGCAAGGACGTCCCCGCTGTCTTCCATCCTTGCTGAGTTTCCCAGTATTACACGCCCCGCCGGCCTGCCCAGAGAGGTTAAACACAAAACCACGCACCACATCCGCACCGCGCCAGGACCACCGGTAGCCTTCCGGCCTCGACGACTGGCACCGCAAAAGCTGCGCATCGCTAAGGAGGAGTTTGCCGACATGGTTAGACTCGGCACCGCCCGCCCGTCAGAGAGCCCCTGGTCGTCACCCCTGCACCTGGCGCCCAAAGGAGAGAACGGATGGCGCCCATGCGGTGACTACCGCGCATTGAATGCCCGGACCATCCCGGACCGCTACCCTGTGCGCCACATCCACGACTTCGCACACGACCTAGCAGGATGCAAAGTTTTCTCAACAATAGATCTAGTCAAAGCCTACCAGCAAATTCCAGTCAATCCCGAGCATGCATTCCGTGCCAACGTTCGAAGATCACCCGCCACGTCGCGGCGCCCCTGGGAACCTTTAAAACACCCTCAAAGCGATTTTCACACGTACATGCCGACATCATCGGACCACTTCCAATAGCTCGATCTTACAGGTACTGTTTGACAGTTATTGACCGTTACACACGATGGCCTGAGGTATATCCCCTGACATGCATCACCGCAGAATCCGTCACGCATGCGTTTCTGTCATGCTGGACATCCCGCTTTGGACGCCCCGACAAGCTCACGACAGACAGAGGCACACAATTCACCTCCCACCTCTTCAGAACCATGGCAAAGCGACACGGCATCGAGCTGCACTACACAACCAGCTGGCACCCAGCCGCCAACGGGCTAGTCGAACGCCTGCACCGCCAGCTCAAGGCCGCCATCATGGCACACTCAGAAGAGGATTGGATCGAAGCACTTCCCCTAGTGCTGCTCGGAATACGCTCCGCTTTTAAAGATGACATTCAAGCCACCGCAGCCGAGCTGGTATATGGAGAGCCGCTTCGCCTTCCTGGTGATCTGCTCTCCGCACCAAAAGACCCAAGCAATGCGGAAGATCCCACTAGTCTACTTGCCCGACTACGCAGGCACGCAAACCAAATTCGTCCCACTCCAGCTTCCCGTCATGCACAACCTGGCACATTCGTTTTTCAGGACCTGGCAACATGCAGTCACGCATTTCTCCGGAAGGACTCCATACGAAAAGCCTTGCAGCCGCCATACACCGGCCCCTACGAAGTGCTAGCGAGAGACAAGAAAACCATCACGCTCAAAATCCGAGGAGAAGCAGCAAAAGTCTCCATCGACCGCGTCAAACCCGCCCACATTTTGGTTGACCAAACCGCACCAAGGCCAACAACGTCCCCTACTACGGAGGAAAAACCTACCTCAGCACATGCCCCGGAATCCACAGCGCCACCGGAGCGCGTCACTCGCTCAGGACGCAGGGTCCGGTTCCCGAAGTTCCTCCATGAGTAATTTCACTCCGCAGGGGGGTGGTGTGGCGACTCGCCCAAACCAAGAAGCGACAAGACACCCCTTTGCCCGCAAATGGACGAACCCGGACCAAAGGTCGAGTGTCACAGCATCTGGCAAGATGTGGCTGAGCCGGGAAGAAGGGACGCTTCGGTCAGTCTTACCTACGCCGACTTACACGCCACTCGTCGCAATTTGTAGTCCTGATATTTTATACATTATTCGCTGTTAAGTTGTTGAGTTGTTAAGTTGTTAAAAATAAATTCACATAATTAAGCTGGGATTTCTATCGTAACCATCCCACAATTTGATGATTTTAGAATGGTGTGTTATTTAATTGTGTGTATGTTATTATTGTCTTTATTTATGTATGTAAGTGTTAATTTTTTTGTTAAGGAAATTGATTAATAAAGCAACTTTTTGCATAAAAATTCTTTACATTTAAATTTTCAATTTCCAACAAATACTTTTGTAGTCTACAAAAAGTTTGTAAAAATAAGGCTTTTTTAAATTACAAGAATTATGGTTGAATTATTGACATAGCATTTTGTTTAAATCTACAATATGTCTGTTATAATTACAAACTACTTATTCGATTAATTAACAGATTACAGTCGGTTGTAAACTTAACATAAAATTATGTAGACCTGGATTGTCAAAAAATCTGGTTAATATTGGTTAAAATTACCAAATATTTTTTTACTGTGTAATAATAATAAGTCTTTATTTATTATTGACTTCAAATTTAGTTTTTAAAATTGGTGCCAGGACCTAAAAAATACATATAACAAACAAACATTTTTATGGTTGCTGCAGAATTGCACGGCAACTTAAGATTTCAGTAACATGGCAATATTGCTGCAATGTTGCCCAGCAACTGCAATGCAGCAATAGCTGAAGGAAGAACATTACCCGTTTAGAATGAAAGAATGAGTCATAAAATTCTTTTGGATTTACTCACAGTTCTGATGGTCTCACGGAGTCTTTACAAATTTTTCGGCCCAACTCTTAATTAATTTTACTGATGGAGCACTATTAATGAGAAAAAACTCCGCGCGGCGATCAAAGAAGTGTTATTTTTGTAATTGGTTTTCACGCAAAAAGCCCAATCTTCAATTGTAAAGCAATCTGTACTAACTATCTATTCTTTTTCAGATAGACTTAATTAAATCACACTCGTATCCCGCTGAAAGACATTTCGCAGTTACAGATGATGGCTACATAATAACCATACACAGGATTTCCCGAGGCAAACATTTAAACAAAACAGGACCACCAGTATTATTGGGGCATGGAACAGGATCCAGCTCAGCCGATTTTTTAAACGCAGGACCAGAAAGAGGTCTTGGATATATCCTTGCGGATTCAGGATTTGATGTGTGGATAGGAAATTCTAGAGGAAATAGTTATTCAACAAACCATATTAAGTATAATAGTGAAAGGGAAGCGAAGGCATTTTATAATTTTAGGTAATTCAATTACTTAAATTAAATTTAGGCCATTTCATCGATAATACAATTTTTTTGTGTGTGAAAAACTAAGATATAAATTATAAAGTTTTTAGGTTTTTTGTCACTGAAATTAGTTTTTTCAAATTTGTTTTTTCTCATTAATTTAAATTGTATTATAAATATTATTTAGGTGGTTTTTATTAACCATGGAATAATTATTATAAGTGATTTTTTAGAAGTTCGGTTTAATAGTAATTAACGTTTTGACTTGTCAATTTTAAAATATCTTTTTTAATTATTTTAGGTAAAAAATATTTAAATTTATTAATTCAAATAAATTTAAATTGGTATTTTTTTAGTTAAAAATTATTAACCCGCTATTCGATGATGATTATCTTTTAGTGCTTTAAACTGCATTATTTTATCCTTCAATAAGTGTTTTTGTTTGCTAAATTTCCTTTTCAAAAATTTTTTAACGCATCTGACCCATTCCTAGGAACAAAATTGTATGACCATTCAGAAGCAACTTTTCCCCAAGTTTTGATTTCCGGTAAACGGACTAAATTGAACGAAAAAGGGTTAAAAATTCACCGTTATCGGTTTTAGAGCCACCGGGATTCGAGAAAAAGCGATTTACAGACATTTAAAGGCACATCTACACAGTATAAAATTTCTGGTAAAAAACAATACCAAAAGTGGTCTATATAGGTCCACACTAGAAATGGTATATCTAACCCATACAATTAAATTTTACCCTTTTTAATAGGTTAATAATCTACACGTACACAGAAAAAGCATGAGTGGGTGAGCCATTAAACCAATGGGATCTTGTAATCTGTATTCCTGAATAACAGTTCCTATAAAGCATTGATTGTATCGTACGAAAACTCAGGGTGAGTTAATAGTTTTTTTGAGTGAATCTATTTCTTTTACCCACGCGGTTCTCCATTTTAGTCAACGATGTGTTTCATTTTTCAAAGTTTTGTTGAGCTATTTCCAGCGTAGGAAGGTAAATTTTAGAAGATTAAAAACCTCTTAGACCAAGGGTAAGTTTGACGTTTTGTAGTTTTTCAAGATGCGTAGGCGTCATTATTTTTTTTAGGGTTTTAAGTACAGGTTTTAAATACGGATTTTTTATGCTGGAGTTTTTTTGTAAGACTTTTTATGTCAGATTTGTTGTGAAGGAATGGTTTTTTACCCTGAAGTTGTTTTGATAATGGCAAGTTCTTACGTTAATGAAAGGCAATCCTGTAATATCTGACATGATAGACTTCAACATCGGAAGCCAACCTATTAGGAAACACACTCTGCCAGGGCCCCAACTGCGTTCAGGTCGTACTAACTTTGTATATTAATGGTAAAGAACATAGCGTTCACTACACTCCATTACACGTTTGTGTACTTTTGAGTCAAGAGTTCCACATAGTCTTCAACTTTTAATTTGTAGTTGTTTTAAACATAGTTTTTTTTATCGATAAATATTTTTTCTGTAATTTAGTCTCTTAGACTTTGGTTTTTATAAACCATATATGGCCATATAAGGGTACCTTATTTGTTTAAACCTTTAAACATTATGTACGATCACTATCACGTTAACAACTGTGATAGAAGTTAATTATAATTTATATTTTAAACTTGACTTTTTATACCCTTATTTACCAATAAGTTTGTGTCTGGCTTAATTGGATTTTAACAACTGGCCTTAATAAGACACTGGCGCCCAATTTTGATTTGCCTTTAGTAAACACACGTAAGTATCAAGAAACAACATTTGCCCATCGACCTATCTCTTCGCTGCTAATCTGCCGTTCGCCATAGCCCTCAAGTTAAGGTTACAATTTAAACACGAATAAATATTATTATTATTTTTTTAATTATTATTAATGGGCATCGACAACTAATGGTCACTAGCCCGGCTACTCACAAAATGTATTATTATTATTATTATTATTATTATTATTATTATTATTATACTGTAAAATTCACCAAAATGTACTTGAAACCTTATAAAACTCACGAGACGAATGTTATAAAAAAAATTGTAATACTACATATTTTATTTTCATTTAAGTATCTATTTTTTTTTCAGTTTCCATGATATTGGATACTACGATTACCCAGCTCAAATAGATTATGTTTTAAATGTTACAGGAAAAAGTAAATTATACTTTATAGGGCACTCACAAGGTGGAACAGCTTATTATGTGATGGGCTCCACAAGAACTGATTATAACAATAAAATAAGACTTGCTGTTTTACTAGGAGCCCCGGCTATTATGAAAAATACACCTCAAAAATTGTTTAGGATATTTGCTGACGTTATTTTTGACGTTGAGGTTTAATACATACAATACATTTAGTAAATTGTTATTAATTATATTTTATTCATTGCAGGATTTAGCTAACTTAATGGGTCTATATCACATCCCATTTTTAGAATCTCAAAGGATGTTTGCTTACAAGTTTTGTTCTTTACCAAAAAATCACAAGTTATGTCAAGATTTTATGTACTTGTTTCTTGGATTTGAGGATAACGAGCAAAATAATATGGTACTTAAGTTAATATATTTTATCTTAAACGTTTATATAAATTAAATATTATTTTTAGGGCAAAACTTTTAAATTCTTTTTATCAACGCCATCAGACTTTTCGTTAAAGACATTGCTACATTTTGGTCAAATAATCAAATCAGGTATATATGTTCCCAATTTAAAATGAATAATATGTATATTGGTTTATTTGCTTCCACTATGGTAACTAGGCTACTGTTACACTGTTTTATAGCAGATAAGTTGAATTTACCGTGAAAGGCTGGTTGCTATTGATGACGGGAGGTAAGTGAGCTACTAATCATTTAATGTCAAAAAATTACTTAGTGTTGGTGTAAAAATAAATTGATCAAAACAGTGTTTTTATTACGCGAAACCTAGCTGTGGAAGCAGATAAAACGTTATACACCACGCAGGAGGTAAATTTTGACCAGTCTTGGACTCTATTGCCAGCCCTTGCACGCTCCGGCGCAAACTTGTCCTCGACTGGTAAAATCTACTTACCTCCTTTGTAGCGTAATATACTATTATTTTTTTAGAGACTTTTAGACAATATGACTATAGACCTGAAGGAAATCTTCGTCAATATGGCGCCATTGAACCTCCAATATATAATTTGAGTCTTATAATAAGCCCTCTTGCTTTATTTTGTGGAAAAAATGATGCATCTCTTAATTTAAAGGTAAACACTATTTTACAATGTAAACAGTAATTTTAAAATGAGGATCCCATTAAATAATAATAATCATAATCCTATTATGTGGCGTGCTTTGAGAAAACGAACATTTGTGTAGTAACGCTTGACTTCGGACATTTATAGCATTGTCAATTTTTAAGATAAAAAAACTATTTTTCAAAAGATCGTGTTTCAATCTAAAAAATCATTTTTTGGACCTAAGGTTGGTTTTCTAGGAACGCGTCACATATAATAATAATATATCAATTTTCTTTAACGGACACCAGATTTTCATTGCGTTGAGTGCAAATCCGACCTTAGAATTGCTCCATCACGTCTTGCTATTAAAATTTTCTAGCCATTGCATAAATTTAAAAGAATTTTTTTTTTAATCAGTATTTTTTCTTGTCTTTCAAAACACTTGGGTATTCTGGCATTAGTAATGCTTGTACTCTGGTGTAATGAAATGGGTGCATTATTTCTTGATGCAGAGTTCTCCAGGAAGTAAATGTATATATTTTAACCCAACGACTAATTTGCCTAAGTATTCGGCAAATTAGTTGTTGGGTCTTGGTTGACCTACTGAAAAATGATTTCCTTGCGTTGGGCAGCATTACGGTCCCCATATTTTATGCATCTATACATCAGTATATATATTTGGGTACGTTATTGAACACATCAGCACCTTAGTATCTTCCTTTGAAGGTCACTTTTGACCTTATACCCCACTTAACCGAAATTTTGTTAGTTTAGTTGAAACATTTGCTTTAATTAAAATTATAAAAATTTCTAAAACATCCATTTATAATAAAAATATGTTTTAGGATGTTGAGATTATGGAAAAGTTATTACCAAACGTCGTATACAAATACATTGTTCCTTGGAATAAATTTAATCATGGAGATTTCGTCCTTGCTACCGATGTTGTCAACTTACTTTATAATGATTTAATTAGGATTCTTAAAATGTATTAATATTTAGTTTTTATAATAAATCTTACAAATTAATTAAATTGCAAATTTTAGAATTTTTTTATTTCTTATTCTTTTAAAAATTTTTAAAGAATAGATTTTAAAACTAATTAATTCTACGTAATAGCAATTTACCTTAATCAGTCGTGGGCAGAAAAGATAGTTTTCGTGCGTCTTAGGTACAACATTTTTTCTACAAGCAATTTTCTTAATCAGTTTCCATTTAAAAAAAAAATACTTTTTATTATTACCATTTTGGCAAATTTAAAGTAATAATAAAATGTTTTTTATTTAAACTTTCTAAAAATGATATGATTTTTATTTACTTAGTTCAAATATACAGGGTTATTCAAAACTCGAGGCGAAAAATAAAGAAATGTACACAGTTTTATATTCTTGATAAAAAAATTAAAATAAAATTTTTGGAGATATGGCTTTGTTTCCGAGATATTAGACTTCAAAGTATATAAATATATTTGCATATAAGTATATAAATATATTTGCATGTGATCAATTTTTTAAAGACCATACATGTTCATTACGGCAGGTATTTATGCCATCCCGAGTAAAAGTAGCTTCGTCCGACCAAAGCGTCTCTCTGAAGAAATTTTCATTTTGTTCATGCTGCTGAAGAAGCCATTGACAAAAGGCGAGTGGTTGCATGCTATCTTCTGGGTGCAAATTATGTACTTTTTGTTTATGAAATGGATGTAAAACTTCGGTTTTTAAGGTTCTCCAAGCAAAACTTTGGAATACATTAAGATGGGCAGCAATGCGTTTGGTACTAATTTCTGGATTATTACACAATCTATCACTTCTTCTTCCCTCACAGCATCATAATAACTATTTCGGGTAGCACCACCAGCACCAACCAGTAATGCGTTGCCATCACAAAAATAATATCTGCTCTCTTAAAATGAATTATTCAAAAATAACTAATTATAAGTCATATTTGACTAATTGTCATATCGAAAAAGCAGTCACTAATAATTAGTCAAATTCCACTGAATGAAATAGTTAAATTAGTAAATTTAAATTTAAAAAAAGTTTTGACCCAGCCTGGGATTGAACTCACGTCTGTCACTTGAGAAGCTTGTCAACCTAACCTCATAACCAGACGGCTGTCAGCCGCTCTTATAAAAATAAATTTAATTTGTCAATAAATATTGTTCATAATATTTTAAAGTTTAATATATTATTTGTGTTACTGTTTTGAGCTAAACTTTTTGCATCTTTATTTGTTTTATGGGTCATTTAAACATGGAGAGGTATATGCATTTAATTCAAATAATACTTTGTTGTTGGCCGTAAACGATTAAAGAAATTAGTTACTTTTAACTGTCAGAAATATTCAAATATGGTGACTATTAGCCACTGACTAATCTTAAATTAGTCAAACTTTAACTATTTACGTAGTAAAAAATAACTATTTAAAAGTGAAAACGACTATTTTATTAGTAAAAAATGCTGGTACTAATTCAAATAGTAGAATTTTGACTATTTCATTTTTAGAGAGTGCATATTCTTCGTTAGAAAACTGCATGATTAACAAAACAACTAATCCAACAAAGCAACTTCTAAATTTGTAAACAATTTTTGTCACCAGGTGACAGTAAACTCACTTATTTCTAGGCTTACTGTAATTTATGAAATTAAATTGGTCGCATACAAAAACTTTAAAGTCCAATATTTCGGAAAAAAGCCATATCTCCAAAAATTTTATTTTACATTTTTTATCAAGAATATAAAACTGTATACATTTCTTAATTTTTCGCCTCGAGTTTTGAATCACCCTGTTTACAATCTTTAATACTTGGCAATGGAAAAAGTTTCAATTAAAATTTTACATGTAATGTTTTGTTGAAAGGGCTGAATTGTTGAAATAATTGCAATAGATTTGCGGTAAATCTTGTATGTCGATAACACAGGATGTCTCAATATGAAACGCCGGATTTTAACTTCGCCATGTTTCTATTTTTTGCAAAGTGCAACCTCGAAAATATGATTTCTGTAGTGTAAAAACATTTTAATTTTCATTGAGCGGTATTCTATAGAACTATGTGTTACTATTCTTAAGACTCATTATAAATATGGAGAATGCTACTATGAAAATTGTATCCAATTTTCGGTCGTGCTAATGCTCCAAATGGGAGGACAGTGGGAATATTAGTGATTAAATTTAAGGAAAGTGGTTTGGTTGGGGACATAAAAATACCTGTGCATCGTCGTACTAGCCGATCTGCTGAATATGGCAGCCGTACGGAAAAGAGTTACCGAAAATCCTGGAACATCGATTTGTCATCGTTTCCAACAAGTTGTTTTTCGAGAAGCAGTTTACAGCAAATTTTAACAAAAGATCTTTATTTGCATCCGTACAAAATTCAATTAACACAGAAGCTAATCCAAATAGTTCTTGCAATGCGCCGGGAATTTGTTAATTGGATTCTGCAAGGCAACAAGATGTTGAATTTGCAAAGACAAATTTAGCGATGAAGCGCACTTTAATCTCAGTGATCTCAGTGACTATGTCAACAAACAAAATTGCAGAATTTGTGTTACAAAACCAGCAACAATTTATCAACTTAAAGACAATATTATTGGCGAAATTCAGCAGCACATATGCCAGGATGTTATAAAAATATGCATATGCAAGCAAAGTCGTGGTGGGCATTTCTCGAATATTTTGTTTTATGCATAATCTTTATCTCAAAATAAAAATAAAAAATATTTTCAAAATGTTAAGGTATTTAATTAACCTATCAAATCCGTCGTTCCTATTGAGACACCCTTTACAAATCATTTAAATAGATTCAATGAGAAGTGTGTGTAGATTTACCTCGTTACGATCGTTTATCGCTGAGGCGCACCGACTTTAATTGGTGAAAACATTGATAGAGTAAAATAGATATTAATAAAAAATCATTATATAAGTTTTAAAGAAATGGACACAAACAATACCATTAGTAGCAATATTGATGTTGATTTGGATGTGGGACGCGTCACCGCTATAGCCTATAGGCTTGTTTTTAAACAGCTAAATTTTCTTACCCCAATTTTTGGAAAAAAGTTCAAAAAATATTTTTGAACAATCCCCGTATTTTCCGGTCAACGTTTTCCTACTTTTCCAAACTGAAATTACCAATTCTTGGGAGGCGTTTTAAAATAAAAAAAATGCTGAAAGGAGCAAAAAGCTATTTTGAAAAATACCTTAAAAATTGTGCATATGCATCGCGCAATGCATCATTTGCTAAATTTTTGTTGCTTGTGGCAATTTCTTTTGCAATTTCTGTGTAAACGCAAAGTTAAGAATACTAGGATTTGCATTTACGTATAAGCGATATCATAAAAATAAATTGGTTTCGAAGAGACTTTCATTAAAAAAGTGTGTTATAAAACAGATCCCCCACTGGTAAAGAACTTGGTTAAAGGTTAATTTCTTAATAATTATAAATACTATTATTACAATAATAATAATAATAATAGTAATATTTATTGAACAAATTTACAAATTTTACAAATTCGCAATTTAACAATTATATTATAAAAAAGTTCGATAAATATGCTAAATACACTTAAATGTTAAACATTTGTGTGTGTACATATAAATAAAAATAAATAAACAAATAAACAATCCAAAAATAAATCAACACTATATAAAAAGTAGGTATTATTCCAAAGATAAACATATAAACAATCACAAGTTTCTGACAATACCACAATAAAATATTAACCTAATAAACTAATCTAAAAATTAAAATTAAGGTAATTCAGGTAAGTGGTTAAAATAGTATAAATTTAAAATTCTGAATAAAAATTAAAAGTTCTTTAGATCTATTTGCTTATTTGAAAATTCTCTAGGACGCTGCATTATATAGTTTCTGCACAATTTTTAAAAAGATTTAGGGAGTAAATTATGTTTTATATTTTTTGGTAGTTCATTGTATATCTTTGGACCTAGATGAATTATACTTCCAATGGTTTTATTCATTTTTGGAACAGGTAAGCCATTTTTATGTCTGGTATAGACTGATTTTAGAGGTACTTTTTTTGTAGCGTGTGTATAAACTAAAAGATTAAGATGGAAAAGTTGTCTACAGTCCATTTTACCAGATATGAGAAAGAGTTCATTTGTAGGGTAAGTTATTTTGACATTATGAATAATTTTAAGAATTTTTTTTTGAGTTATTTCCAGATCCTTTAGATCGATATATAGTACACCACCCCAACCTAAGATGCCGTATCTTATGTGCGATTCCACATTACTTTATAAATACTACATTATTATTTTATTAAAAAACATTTTAATTAGACAGACAAATACCGTTTAGTTCTAATTGATATACTATATTTTTTATTATAATTTATTATTACAATAACTATTGATAAACAATGTTAAAGTTACTATGTTTAATTTTAGCACCAAGAATAATTATAGTTAATGGCTTGATTAACCCAGTAAGTAAAAAAATTATTTAAAATTACAAGCAATATTTTATTAGCTTTGTTTTAAGAAAAGTTATGGATCAGATGTCACAGAGGAAATAAGAAATAATTCAAATTGTTTTTAGTGATCACTTATACAGTACTTATAAATTAGTCTGCACCAATAAGATCCCTAAAAATATTTTGTAAACTTTTTTTTATTACTTAGTTTTAGTTTACTTGTTCATCCAAATTTAAATATATATCAATATTATCACTATATTATAATAGTTTTAACAATAATTATAAGCATAACTAAAACTGTTTTAATATACTTCTCTATTTCTTAATTTAAATAAACTTCATAAAATCCCAATCCTATCCAGCTGAAAAACACCATATAACTGCTGACGATGGTTACATTACAACGGTCAATAGAATACCTAGGGGAAAAACTAGTATTATAGGAGGCGATCCCATTTTAGTAAGCCATGGTACAGGAGCATCATCATCCGGATTTGATGATCGAAATACTAATATGAGCCGTCTTACCCCTATTTTTAAATCTACACCATCAGATTTTTCTTCTAAATGCTTGTT